ATTTTTTAACGGCATTTATGAAACAAAATTAAAACTCGCTAAACATAAGAAACTAAAACTGAACCATGGAAAACTACATCAATACCACACTGAAAACAAAATGTTGGCAACAACAGCAAAATCATCAGTGGACCCAACAACTTTGTAAATAAAAAAGATATAAAAAACAAGAAAAACAAAATATAAATGCACAAAAAGACTGACAATAGATGCATATAACCAACGCTGATCAATGAAGCATACAACCAGCGTACACATAAGCGAACACTCCGAGATATGCATGTACTTGTACATTTGTACGTATGCATGCCTCTATACATGCACGTATATAAGTCTCTCTCTCTCTCTCTCACTCTCTCTCTCTCTCTCTCTCTATATATATATATATATATTTATATATATATTTATTTATTTATTCATAATATTTGCGTATGTTTTGTTGGTATTTGGAAGCATTTTACTTTACCTTTACTTATAGTTTCGAAATTCATTTTACTTTTTCCTTTTTTGGTAAATATCTTTTTCATTTTATTTTTACTTTTCAACTCGCCATAAGTATACAACAGTTGCCGAAACGGTTTAAGACATTGAAAATAAACATTGCAAATAAATCTCAATGTGTGATATTATCGATTTCTTTTATACAATAAGTAGTTTTAAAACTGACTAATAAAGTATATCAAAAGTTTCATGTTTGAATTAGGGCTTCGGCAAATTTCAGCTACTTTTCAAATTCGCTTTGCACATTGTACATTTAATTCTTTATATGTGATTGAACATGTATGTAATTGTATATTAATCAATGAACGTATTGAATTGAAAATGGTTTGAAACGAGAAGAATTACGATTGCATCGCTTGAGCCATCTGATTGGTGTAAGTACGTAAGTACCGTTGTGTGGACATATATTGATAATATAACATAACATAAAGATTTTTTATAGTGATCTAAGAAGACCTAGTCTATGAAAGGACCACACTAAGACTTTTTTTAAATCCTATTTTGTCAAGTTTGCTTTAAAGTTATTAGTTTTTTCTGCGCATATTATTTCATCTCTAAGTTTGTTCCAATCGCTGACAACTCTGCAGCTAAAAAATTTTTGCTTTATCAATCCTGAGCTTTTTTTAAAGATCTTATGTTTATGCCCCCTTGTTTCACTGTTCGTCCTTAGCACAAAAAATTTTACTGGTTCCAAATTCTTCTTCATAGTGATGATTTTGTATGCCTGAATCAAATCTCCTCTTGTTTTTCTTTTTTCTAATGTTGTCAAGCCACAAACTTTTAATCTGTCTTCATATGACATACCGTGATACTCCTTGATCATTCTCGTTGCCCTCCTTTAAATATTCTCTAGCACATAACTTTCCTTTTGTAAATCTGTATTCCAAAGCTCCAATTCAGGTCGAACCAGTAAACTTATACAGGTTTAATATGACGATCATGTTTCTGCTTTTTACTGTTTCTTTTTTATCATACCCAGGATCCTGTTGCACTTTTATCTGCCTCGATATTATACAAATGGCTGTATATGTACGTATGCAATGTAAAGGCAACAAGAAAACATAATGAACGTATAATCATAGTACGTGTGTGTATGTGTGCGTGTGTGCGTGCGTGTGCGTGTGGGTAAGTTGGTTGTGTGTGTAATTTATTTCATCTAAAAGAGCACACTCAATTATATCCATCAGTTTTAATGCAGCGCAAGAAAATGTCATTACTTCTACTTCGTTCAACACTGTTGCTAGCACTGTATTACATTCATTCATCCATCCATTCATTTATCCATCCATCTGTCTATGCGTTCATCACTCACTCAATCAATCCATCCATCCATTTATCCATCCATACATCTGTCTATGCGTTCATCAATCAATTCTACCATCCATCCGTCCATCTATCCATTTATACATATATTAGTCTATTTATTCTGACAATTAATTCATCATGAATTTACAAATAATTCCAACGTTCGACGATATATGAAATCTAATTTATATCCTAATTTTTTTTTGTGCTTGAAAAGTCCGAATGTTATTTTCATCCGAATGTTATTTTCAACATCCGGATACAACTACTACTACAACTACCACTACTTCTACAATTACTACTACCATTACTACTACTACTACTACTACTACTACTACTACTACTACTAATAATAATAATAATAATAATAATAATAGATGAAGCCTTTCTGTGAATAAGCTTCCTTTTTCAAAATGAACTGGTGAATGAGAAATAAAAACCATTTCATATGGAAACACTGTAATGAATGGTAATATTAAAAATTTAATTTTTTCAATATTTTCATAATATATTTAATTATTATATTTCAACTTATATTATATATTTTCAACAACTTAGTTAAGTTTTTTAAAAACAAATATTTATAATTTTTCATTTAGAAAAATTGAATTCTGAAAAAGATCTTCTATCGCAGAAAGCAAGCATTAAAGCAGGGGAGGGCAAACTTTTTGCTGTGAGAGCCGCATTGGGGACAATTTTACCTTTGAAGGGCCGCATATGTACTTAAATAGCAAAATTTTTCGACTCAGGGGAGAATTTTTTAAAATATTTGTGGCCCCTTTTTTGGTCATAATGTCTAGCTGACAACCTTTTTTTTAATTTGCCCACCCATTCATTAAAGTATCAACTTTTAGCTGGAATTATTGACAAAATCATCAAAGCTCATAGGTGTTTATAAGTACGATACGTATGCGTTTAATGTTTCAGCTAGGATACCCAGTGCTTACAAACAAATACATGAGCGCAGAACTGTAATTATATACAAATTTGTATTTAAACAAAAAATACATACAGCAAAATCACGAAACATTTCATATTTTCAACTTAAAAATAATTACCTTTTCGCAGCTAATAATGATTGAATTTGTTTCAATTGTTATATAATTGTCGTAATTAAATGAGTTTAAAAGCTGTTGAACATTACCGAAATAGTTCATCTGTGAATGTGGAAAATTTACACCAATGTCTTCAATGGAATACATAGAAAGAAACACATTAGTACGTATTGAGTATGTTTAAATGTGTGTGCCACATGTTTGAAGCTAAGCATGTTTTATGTCGACACTTAAGCATGTCCAATCATTATGGCTGCAATCGTCGGAGAAGACGTGAGTTTAATTGGTCGTTCGTTCGTGTAAATATTCCTCAATGATTTCTTCGGAATATGCTTCGCGTGGTATCAATTTCATTTATTCTATGCCTATTGAAACCGAGGTTTGCATGGGTCGTAATATTGCGACTACCAATGAAAATCTATGAAAATAATGACGCAAGATGTTTTATCATATTATATTTAATAGTTTTTAGTTATCATTTCACGATTCAAGCATTTCATTAAAAGCCAAAATTGAATCAATTTATTTTAAACTTTTCATAAAGTTACAGTAAAAATTTTGAAAAATTTTACAACAAATTGTGGTTTAAACAGAAAATCTGTACTATTTATTGAAATGTCTTTGTCCCAATTTTTCCGAAATGGATTTTTCAAACCTTTAGACGCACCTTAAAGATGTTTTAGGGAAGTCCGACTTAATGATTTCCGCGAACAATATGAATGCCTCTGCGTTTTTGCCTCTGTATCATATATGTATGTGAGTGTGAGTGTACTATGCGTTTTTGTGTTTGTGTGTGTTTCAGGGCCGTTCTTTAGAAACTGGAGGTCTTAGTCAATTTTGTGACCAAAAATAAAATTTGAAAATATTTGATATCAATGAAACTTGCATAAATCTTGTTTTTTCGCTTCATTTTTGCGCATTCAGAATAAATAAATTAATAATACCTGCTATGTAAAAGATGCAATGAAATATTTGGCTAAAGACATTTTAGAAAAGTTACCCAGCAGAAAAAGTTCATAAGTTTATTGTAAAATATCCATGTTCCATACTTACAAAACGGTTTATTTGACCTAATGATCACTTTTTGTTGTTGTTAATTCTTAGTCAATTCTATTTTGATTATTTTGTATGAACATTTTTATATTGAAACAATTTAAGCACCATCTATAGTCTTAAGTATGACTGCAACATTTTTATAAAGTTTGTTTATATCAGTCACTATCCCATATGTTGAATCTATTAGTTAATGAGAATAAATTATATTTGTTTATTTATTATCTTAATTGGTCGTCGTACTATGGTAGTGAACTAGAACAATTGGACATTTTCTTACTAAAGTTATGGACAGTTAGAGGAGAGTTGATCGGCTTCTCTTACTTTAAATTATCGAAATATGTATATCATATTGCATTCTGAGTATTTTTTTTTATTAAGTTATCATATCATAACTAAGTTTCAGATCATAAAACTTATATATAAAAATGAACGACCGATAATTCTGTAAACTCCTGTATATAGGACAAGAATCAAAAAGTCATTGTCAGAAAGTTTAAAAATGTTTTCAATGTTTGTTAACAATTTTTCATATAGACTATGTAAGTATAAAAAATAGAGTAGAGTTATACAGGCTAGATAAGAAAGAACCAATGAATATATATATATATATATATATATATATATATAAAGAAATGGAAAGAACTTATAAAAGATAATAAAAAATTAATAGTCTTTGTTTCCAATATGGCCTCGCTCGTACATATTTGTAAAGCGATCTCAAGAAAGTAAACAAAGTCGGATTATTTTGATTAATTAGCGACGCTGTTAGTTTATTTTTTGCTTTAAATAATTTGTTCTCAATAAATTTATTTTGTTATTTACACTTTTCCTAGTTACAAAAGCTCGTATTGGATCGTTAAATTTAATTTTTAATTTAGCATTAGTAAACTAACTAATGATTAACATTAAAATTAATAAAGGGAGATCACATTGAAAAATTTGTTTTGTTCGTTTTTAGTTTTATGTTTTTTGATTAAATAAACTTGGCTAGGCTAAAAATTAGTTGAGAAAATTGATCACGTTGAGTTGAATTAAAATCATTATCAGTGTAATAAATAAATGAACTTCAACAAATTGAATAAAATGGATGATAATGACAATGTGGATGCTCCTAAAGTTGTAATTGATAAAAAGGACGAAAATGATGATAATCAAAAATTGAAGGATATGAGGTCGACAGAAGAGAAAAATGAAATATTTCAGGAAACAAATTCTAAATCTCGAAGTTGCAACAAAAATGGAAACAAATACAAATCTCGTAAAAGTAGAAGTCATTCAAAATCGAAAAGCAGTTCGAGAAGACGTAGTAGGTCTAAAGAGAGAAAAGACCGAAAACGTTCAACAACTCCGGAATACAGGAGAAAGAGATCTAGATCAAGAGAAAGACGAAGAAGTAGAGATAGAAGAAGTCGTTCAAGGGACAGGCAACGTCGTTCTCGTTCTATTCGAAAACGATATAGATCTAAATCAAGAGATAGAAAAGCTGATGAAGCCGTAAATTCAAATGAGAGAACTGTTAATGGTAATAAATCTCCAACAAGACGAAATCACAGGCATTCCAACTATAAATCTGACAGAAGACACAGAAGAAGTAATTCTAGAGACATTGAGAGGAGACCATCTGATGGAGATCGAAGATATCGTGGTTCTCCTAAATATGAATCTAACTATGATAGGTCTAATAACTATGGTGAAATTAGAAGAAATGAATATTCAAGTAGTCAGAGAAACAACTATCATCGAGATAGAAATTATAGCAGGCGATTCAATGATGATCAGTTTGAGAAGAGTGATGTCATCAATGATGATATCAGTACTAGAAAAAGAGATGAGCCTTTATTTGGGATTGATCTTTCAGAACAAAGTAAACTTTCTGACAAAGAGGATATTTATAATAATAGTTCTACAATACCAGTACTGCTTTCATCTTTAGATAATCTAAATAAAAAAAATCCTCAACACTCAATGGAATCACAACCTTCAAACTTTGTAAGACCTGTTATTATGTCTGCCAATGATATACGCTTTCCACCTCCTAGATTAGCAACATCACAACCAAATTTAGTAAATTTTAAAGAATTATTGCCAAATATGAGAGAGCCTCCACCTAATTTTTTGGCTTTTCGAGCAGATAGCAATTTTCAGGTTGGCATGAATAATAACAATTTTCAAACTCTGCAACCAACAACTCAACAGTCACAAATTATACGTCCTCCACTACCAGTTTTAAATCAGGGTCCTATTAATTTGAGAAATTTTGAACCTAATCAGGTGATAAGACCCATGCAGATGCTACAGGGACCTGGAGCTCGAATAGAAATACCAATAGATTTAAGATTTCTATCTCCAGAATTAAGGCTATCAATGTTTAATACTAACAGTGCTAATCGACCAACAATGATACAACAAAATCAGTTAGCAAACATATTCAGAGGTTTTCAGGTTGATCCTACTCGCATGATGCAACAGTCTGCTGCACAGCCTCAGCAACAACAATCAACGCAACATTTGTTAGCACCACCTCAGAGATTTTTATCGGATGTGAGATTACTATCTGCTAGTAGTCAGCAGCAACATCAGCCTGCAGATGTTCCTCCTCCTCCTCCACCACTCAGTTCATTGATAAATAATAGACCAACATTAGTTCAACATCATTTACCTTTTAATGTTATCAACAATGTATCAAACAAAACTTCAGATGGTAGCAGTACAACAAATGCCGCGTTTCACCCATCTCAAGATCGACATGTTCTACAAAATCAGATTCCTACATCAGATTTTAATGTAAAACCTGAAGGTAACTTGCTTCCGAGAGCTCCCATAATTACACATCGGTTTCCTCCACCCCCTCCACCTCCTGCTCCTTCTTCACTCTCTCAACCATCTTCAACTACTAATAGTTTGGACTCGTTGGGCAGTCAAAATTTGTCATCGACTGCAAATGACGAGAAATTGATTACTGCTATTAAATCAAATGTCAAGCAGAAAACTGCCACAAGTTCTGAATTATATAGCCCAAACTCTTGTGCCAGTGACAGTAGTTCAGTGGATGCTTACACTGAAGCTTTATTTGAAGAACCTTTTGTTGACAATGGCACACCTTTGGAGGAAGAAAGTGATTCTAGTTTGAATGTTTCACAATCAGTTGATGTTCCACATAATGATAATTTAACTTTGTCAAATTTGAAAAGTAATAATGAAAATATAGCTAGTAATGGTATTTTGAAGTTCAAGGATGATGAAAGTTTGATTAATAAAACCATTTCCAATAATAAAGTACAAGATAGAGTAAGCAACATGGATAAAAATACTATTGACAATGAAACTGAACAAAATAAAAGCATGTTCAAAAGTCTTGTTCAGAAAAATCTTGACTTAACTGGAACATTAAATCTCTTTCACGTTAATGATTTAAAGAAAGTTCTTGAGACAGCAAATTCTGCATCTAAGAAATCCACTCATGATATTGAAAACAAAACTCTGAATCCTGCCAAAAATGCTTGTAGTGGAATGGGGGCTGCAAAATTATCTAAGGTTGAGTATATTTTTGTATTCATTTGAGTACTGCCACAATCTAATCTTATATAGACCATTTAGTTAGACCAATTAATATATGAGATTCTGGAAAATTGAGTGAATAATTTAAATTAGCTTATCTTTTTAAATTATGAAGTTTGTTTCTTCATGCATTTCGTTCTTTGAATGATTTCTGTTTATTAATGTTCAATTGCATTTTGTTTATCCATTCATGCGCAGACTCAAAAAATGGAGCAGATTGCTGATGAAGTTAAAGCAGCATTAAGACCTCATTTCTTCAAGAAATTGATTAGCAAAGATGATTACAAAGACATAATGAGAAGAGCTGTTCCTAAGGTTTTTTCTTACCATATTTTTATTTTTTCAATCTTGACGTTGGTGAGATCAATGTTTGTTAGCAGATATCGTAAAAGTTTTAAATTAATTTGGTTCTTTGTGTTATTAAACAGCTTTGACTCTGAAACACTAACGACTGCTTTATTTTAAATTTCATTTGAACTTTTCTTCTTGCCTAATTTAGATATTCAACAGTAAAAGTACGCTGGATTCAACGAGGATTCAAAGCTTCATTCAAGAGTACGTGAACAAAATCACACGAAGCCGTAAATCAGGAAAAATGAAAAATACAACTGCACATGGGGCGTCACATGACAAAAAGCACGCCATTGTTAAAATAAACCCTTAAAGTTGAACTGTGCACGTAGTTTAATTATTTTAATCATTCTAAATGCATGTTTCATTTATGTTTTTTCCTAATTTCGTTATTATTATTGTTATGAGCTTTGGTTTCTAAATCATTACAATGAAACTTGAGTCTCTATGTGCATTTGTTGTAAATAATAATTTAATTGTAATCAAAGTTTTTTTTTGACAATCGAATAAAAAATATTTTTTAGCTACTTTTACAGTTTGTTTAACAACATTTGGTTGTTAATAGTTTATTTTAGTTTATCTCGATTTATTTTTGTTCTGTAAATATTGAATTGCTGAAATGAACTTTTCTGAATGTTATAGATAATGTTTTTCTAAATTGATAAAATAATGGATTTAATCAAGTTCCAACTGGAAAATTTCAAACTTTTCTTTAAGGTATTGCTGCGTTTTAAATAGCAGTATATTTAACTTTTTAATTAGATTGAATTTTTTTAATAAAATTGATCTTTTTTAATAGAGTTGTATTTGTGGAGCGCTCGTTACTACAAAAGAATCCTGATATTATTTTTCACTTATTCAACTATATTGGCTGCCAGTTAGAAAACGCAGTATTTATAATCCCGCTCTACCTGCCTACATAAAGTACTGCAGATACCTTTATATCTCCATCAATTTGCACCTCCTCGTTCATCCAATCATTTTCGTTCGTCATCGTCATAATTTTTTCAGTTGCATCAACTTGTCAAATTATCGATAGTCAACGGAAGCTTTGTTTACAGGTTGCCTTCCACATGGAGTGGTCTGCCTGTCAACATTCGTCAGCAACTTCTGTACATATGATCGGTGGTTTTTGCTTATTACGTCAATTTTTGATAGATATTTTTCTAAAAACTGAGTTTTACTAACTTAACTTTTGATAAAAAATACTGCTCACAATGAGGGGGAGGGCACGACTCCCCTACATCTGCCACAGGTTCACTTCATTCATTAGATTATGTTGTTGATCATTATTTTAGTAACCTTATTCCAGTTTGCAGAGTAAGCCGTGGAAAAATAATATGACGTCAGCACTTTTAATTCAAACATTTTGGTAAAAAAGAATCGTGCGTTAATAACATTAGGGAGGTTACTAAATTCACTAAGAATAGCGAGAATCTGAACACGTAACATGACCTGATGCGGATTTTTTTTATCCGACTCCGACTCTGAGTTTTAAATATTTTTGTTTGTTTAGAAAGATGCTTTATTGAGAAAAAGTCATACAATCTAGTTCTTTAGTGACTTCTGAAAAAAAGAAGAATTTGATAGTGACCCATGAAATTTAAGCGGTGAAGAAGACCATTCACTAAAGAAACTTTTTATATTTAGCTGACCTTATCCACAGTACCAGATGCAACAGCATCAAAGAAGGAAAACGCCGCTGGATGAGCGGTCTTTTTAGCGACAGAGTGGTTTGGTCGATCATTGGAACGTCTAAGCCCAATTGAGTGCTAAACACAGACGGAAATCATCTCAAACACTTTATATCTCTTTATTATTGGTATTATATAAAAATGGTAGCAGAAATAATTTATTTAATTTGTTAGCTTTTCATGCTGCTTCGTTGCAAATGAACTCATATAAATGGATGACAACCATATAAATTAAAAAATATAACAACTGGGTGTTGCGCGTGATGCAGATTTGATGCGGTTCGAACGTCCCATGTTGCAACGGCTGCGGCATTTTATGCAACAGCTTCATCTCTACCTTACCTTATCTCTATTTTTTTCTTTTGGCTGCATTGTTGATTTGTGCGATAAATCACCTTTTCATGTTTTATGAAGGAATTTCTGCTATTTGCGAACGAATTGAATCGGAAACGCACGAATTATGAAATCGACAATAATAAATGCTTTTTTAGTAATTATCTTGTCATGTGATGAAAACTTTGCCGATTACAACGGTTTGTTTGATACGTCTTCAATAATTTTTTTTAAATTCGTTTTTTTTTTACGATTTTATTTTGTTTAATTATTTTATATATAATAATATATATAATTAGTTTCATAATATAATGATTATTGTTTAAATGTAGACCTGGTTTGTATCAACACCATTATAATTAGGAATTGATTAGCATTAGCAGATTAGCTTGTTGATAATTTGGTATTTTTAATTTATTCAGCTCTTGCTGATTTTTTTTAAAAACTAGATTTTAATTTTTTTCATTAATAAATAATCATAATTTCATGTTTATTTATTTTAGATTCAGTGACTCAGTATGAAGTCACTACTACCACTTCAATGTTTGTTACTGATTCCAGTTCAAACGAAATTTATAATTCTGAGTTTCATGTTGAGGATGACCTTATATCTGAAGCCATTTCCAAACCAGAGTCAAACTCAAATGAAACATATGACAACTACAATCTTACCTTTCCAATCGAGAGTGAGTCCATTGAAAGCCTAATAAGTCCAGAGGTTCCTTCATCAATAACTTTTCCATTAGTAATCAAAAATGTATCAGACATCCTGGAAGATGTGAAGTTATCAACAACCACTTTCCAATCCATTATGAGAGCTGATACAGCTGGATCAACTTTAACAGCAGCATCAACATCGACTCCAATTGCATTGTCATCTACCTTAGAACCATCATCATCAACGACGGTCACCACGATTATTGTAAAAAGTGTTGAGGTATTAATCTTTTGTTTTTGAATTTGTACCATAATTCTTTGTATTCTTTACTCATATCTATATTTGCAACATTTAATACCATATTACGTTTTGTTCAGATAGATATTTTATTATACATCTTATGCATTTTAAATTTTTACATTTGAAATGATCTAACTGCAATAATAATTAATTGCTTCCTTACACAGGATTATCACAAGTACTACAAGTCAGAAATAATTAAGTCTGGTATGGGATCTCAATATTGGATAAGTGAGGATATCATGTACAAGGCAGACAAGCACCACACATTGTCAGAAAGTCATCGCAGTGCCGCAGTTCGTTCTTTCTTTCTTCACCATTCATTCCTACTTAAATCTACTTTTGGTTACCATTTATCAATTGGTTTCTATCCTAATTTATTTACTTTGGTTGATTGTGTATAAATGAGGTTGGCGCAAAAAGTTGATGGCGAAGAAAACAATGTCCTACCTCGGGGAACCGGGACTCTGGACGCAAAACGAAGATTGATTGATTGTGTATAAATTGACAAATGTGTATTTTTTAAAAAGCATCTGAGTAACTTAAAATTTCAAAAAGCATAGTTTTAGGATTAGATTATTTAAATTAATAAATGTTAATAACACTTATGTAATGTAATTTAATTTTCTCCTCAGACCATATCATTAAGTTTCCCATTCACATTTTATGGGCATGAAGTTAATCAGGTCACCATAGCAACAGGAGGTGAGTTGGATGGTTCATTGTCGTCATTACTAACTAAATAAATTTTCTATCCAACAATGATGCTATTAGAATAATTTCAGTTTTTTGATATGATCCCGTGTTGATTGCATGTGAAATCAATCAGGCCAGTATTAGTTACCGCTTGCTTGATTAAGAATTTTCTTTTATCAACTTTATAATAAGCATTTATATTTTTTTTCTTAAATAGTTTCTATTTCTTTTTAAGAGTGTTCTTAGAATTGTTTTCAAATTTGGTCTAAGATGATAAATACAATTTCTTTACAATATTCCTGATGTCCTTAATTATTGAGTTGTATTTTTAGTCCAAGATTTTCAAACCTATATTTTGATTTTCACATTATATGAATTAATTTTGTAAAATTTGCGGTGCTTATCATCACTACAAACGTCATTGCTTTTACCATTTTTGTCATCGGTCATGTTTTTTATATCATTAGTTTAAACTGATGACAATAAATTTTATTGCAGGCTTTTTGTACATGAGCGAATTTTTGCACCAGTGGTTGACGGCCACCCAGTACATAGCCCCCCTCATGGCTAATTTTGACACCCAGATAGGAAATAACTCATTCATCAGACATTGGGATAATGGTTTGTTTTGTTGTGTACTTGCATACTTGCATGGTTCGTCCTCATCTTCAGGCATGCTGCATAATGCCCTGCCCATGCTAGATAACGAAAGCGCATTTTAGTAACATCATTCTCTATCCATCTAATTCCACTTTTCAATTTTTTTGAAGTTAAGTGTGCTTTCCAACTTGCTGAAGGATATCTACATTTTCTCATTTTTAAAATAAAGGAACAAATCTAAAAAATGTAATTTAGTCCTTGATTTTGATAAATTATTAAAAGGTGAATAAACATTTTCAGGATCAATCTTTGTTGTTTGGTGGGAGGATGTCTTCCTACAGGATGAAGTTGATGGTTGGTAGATTGATTCATTTATAGATTGATTGGTTAGATGGTTGGCTGGTCAGTTGATTGATTGATTGACCAGTAAATTGGTTGCTTGGTAAGGGTTTGGAAAATGTTCTCATTAGATTCGCTAGTGGTTTGATTCTCAAATTGTTCTAACCAGAAATATCAAATGTACGATAATTGTATTCCACAGGACATTTTAGTTTCCAAGTTCAGTTGTACAAAAATGGTACCATCGTCTTCAGCTATAAAGATGTAAGAAGCAAATAATTTCATTTTCATATTGAAATTATTTTTGATGATGTAAAATTTCTAGTGATTACATATTAAACCTATGTTGATTTAATTACATTTTTCTAAATATGTCTCAGTCTATCTATGTATGTATCTCTTTCTAACTTTAGGTTTATTTACTAATGTCCATCACAACCATATATCCTCTGCTAAGTGCGTCATGAGTCTTTTTATTCCAACGTCAGGTGCCCACTGTCGTATCTGGAGTACCTTCCCATCGACATCCCGTCAAGATTGGCATGTCAGATGCCTACTATATGGACAAACCAACAAATACTGGTTCTTCATTTTCATCATCTCTTCTTCAGAATATTGTAACTATTTAGATTTTCGATACAAAAATCTTAATCATTCCCATGGGAATAAATTGGAAATTAGACAGCCTAGCTTGGTTAAAGTGGGAAGCTTGAAAATTTCAATTTGAGATAGTGAAATTATTTTGCTGTTGAATAAATTTTGTCGAGTCACTCTTAATTCTCAGTTGTTTGAGAGTTTATTTGTGGATTAGGCAGCACATTAGACACGTTAAATATGTCTACAAATCTGCCGTAAGTTTGTCTAACAGTTATTTAGTAAGCTGTAGGCTGATGAAGATGATTTTAACTATGTCAAAAGAGTTGTATTATAAGAAAATTTATCGATTTAAAAGTTTTACAGGAATGTGTTTGTACTATCTTGTCATTATGTTACTAATTAGAATAGACAATAGTTTTATTTTCATTATTTTTTATTTTTTCTTAAATTACCTTTAGAAAATTATTTAATTTGCAAAATAGTTTGTCGATTTTGTTTTCAATTTATATTTTTAATTAATTCATTTTTTCTAATTTGACCTTTTTTTTGTCAGCCTGGTTACACTGTCCCTTTTGATTTAGTGAGTTTTCAGTTCTGTTTTGTTTTTCTAGCATTATATTTTATAATTTAAACTTGGCTCGCTCGATTGGTCGCTTTATGGAAATAATTTGAAGTTTTTATAACAATTGATGTAAAGTATCTATTAACATATCTATGGATTATATTTGATTTTATACTTCCACATCTATTTTTGTATGTAATATTTTAATTAGAATTATTAAGTTAATCGGAACATCTTAAGTTATTTTCTTAAAAATAATCATGGTATAGCATAAACTTTATTTATTTGAAAACTCATATTAGCAGTTGTGTTTCATTTCGTTCTTCATTGTTAATTGGTTTATTGCACACGCTAGGTTCCTGCTAAGAGCCTTGCACCTTGAAGCTTCATATAAAGTTTGATGTAGAGAGCTATTCACCTGTTTTGAAATAATATGAAAATATTTTTTCCTTAAGTTAATTTAGATGATTTTAATATGTTAAATTTGGTAATTATTTAAGTATTATTTTTGATGAAATGCTCTGTAATTGTAGAAATGAAGCAGAGGACAATCTATGAGTATCACCGAGTGGAGATCAACATGTCACTCATCACTTCCAACACTTCCGTCGTCATCAGCCCACTTCCAAGCATGTTTTTCCTCTAATTTATTTTTATAACGCCATATATTGTCATGCTTTCTCAATTTTCCACTATTAATCTTCATTCCTGTTACTAATTTGTCACTTTCATATTTCAAACTCTATCTCTGATTTAAACTTTTTGTTTACTTGGCTGTCAAACAACTTGTTTCAACTTCTGTAGTGAATTATGATGGAAATAATGACTCAGTCGAATGAATGAATGAACAAACGAACGAATGAATGAACGAACGAACGAATGAATGAACGAACGAACGAATGAATGAATGACAAAGGTTGCATACAGATGAAGAGCTGCTCGGAGTGTGTGTCTGCCTCAAAGAAGATGGATCAGACGTGTCAGTGGTGTCCCACACTGCAGCACTGTTCCGATGGTCTAGACAGGAAGAGGCAGGAATGGATGCATAATGGCTGCCATAAGGATGTAAGTGCTCTCTGTGTTATGTTTTTCATGTTATGTTCTTCATGTTGAATTCTTCTTCGTGCTCTTCAAAACTACCAGAATCATTAACATTGTTTCTAAAAAATCCAAACTGATGGTTAATGTTATGTACCATTGAGGCACAAATTGAGAGTTTGAATAGGAGCAAAAAATAAAATTTCGGTTATTTTCAATTTAACTAACCAAGGATTATGAAGAGGAGCTATATTGCTGATTTTTAAATTATGTAGAATAACTAAAATAATTGAGGTAGAATTGTTTTGTTTTGTCAATTTCTACCGCACGACAAATCCTGTGACAGATGATCAACTTTGAGATATCAATCAGAATTTTTATGAATTTTTTTTAGAAGATAATTGATTAAGCGTTAGATCGGTGAGAAATTATTGTCGATTTCCTACTGGTTGCATTGAAATGTGGTTAACATGATTGTGTTTAACTGCTGAAGTTCATCATCATGATCATCGTCTCATCATCATTGAAGTTCCTGTCAACGGAGGAGCAGTGCAGTCAGTACGTGGCATGGACGTACTCATCAAGCCGTCTGCTCACATCAAACATCATCATCATGATCATCGTCGTCCTCATATTCTTCATGATGATGATGTTGGTACTGGCCTGGCTGACGTATGCATATCGTCACCCCAGCAGCAGATCTGGCATCTGGTTGATTGAGGTTCCTTTGTGTTCCTTTGCAACTTTCCTAAATAACATGCAAGTTATTATGTAATAACGTTATGAATTGAGTCAATTGCTAAAATATCAAGCAAGCAAACAAATCAGTCATCTTTCGTTTGTCATTGCTGGCGCTTGATGAATAATCTGTAACAATAATCAACAGTTTAATCTGAGGCACCAAATTTTGAGGTCGTAAATAGTAAAAACTTTGTCTTGCGAATTCTGCATAAATTCTACTTCAAGCTTGATTTTTTCAAGTTTGCTTTTGGTCGTTTTGTATATTTTCAACTTTGCTATCCAACTTTCATATTTTAAAATCTTTATCTGGTTATGTCTAATGTACTATGCCAGCATTTTGTATCTAATTAACTTTTTATGTCTTCATTATTTTTCTCCCTGTAGACCACTGCATTTGTTTTGAGGAGTCAATTTTATCTGATCTATATATACTCTGCCCATGCTGTCGAAGGAAAAAACTGCGTTTCGCTTTTTACATCATATACCGTTTTTTTTACAAATATCATTGGATTAAAATTTGTTGTACCATTTTTTATGAAAAAATTTTAAATGGTAATAATTTGAAAATAATGACCAGCACCAGCCATCGCAAATACGTCAGCGAGTTGTCAACTTCTTCACCCGTCTGCGGACTTCACTGAATGCAAGCAAGTATCGAGTGGCTATGCAACCGGAAGTCGAGAGTCTTGCTCAGATGTGATTGGTCTCAATGAGTGGGCTAGATGGTTTGGTGGGCTGGTCGCTTGAATGATGGCGGATTATCTGATTGGTCGATTGATTTTAGTTGATTGATTGATTGATTGATTGATTGATTGATTGATTGATTGATTGATTGATTGATTGATTGATTGATTGATTGATTGATTGATTGATTGATTGATTGATTGATTGATTGATTGATTGATTGATTGATTGATTGATTGATTGATTGATTGATTGATTGATTGATTGATTGATTGATTGATTGATTGATTGATTGATTGATTGATTGATTGATTGATTGATTGATTGGCTGGCTGTTTGTGGTTTTATGGTTCATGTCAGTTATGACTGGTTTGTTGATTGAAATATTTTGAAACGTCGAGTGTAATTAATCAATTTATATAAATGACTAACTTTAGTTGGTTGGTTTGGTTGGCTGACATTGAGATGTTTCTAAATATTTTATTTGCAATACGTTCTGAAGATGATATTTCTGAAGTGATCTGAACTTATTTGAGGTAATAAATGTAAAATATTTAAGTGTTATATATCTATTAATGTATTATAAATTATTTTTAAATATTTGAATCATCGTTCTCATTTGCTTGTAATCATACAATTTTTTAACATGACCATCATTTTATTGTTACATTCCTTCAATTGATTCCTTTTACTATATAGACGACATCATGTGCATTGGACCAAGTGATTGATAAGGAGTTAATTAATTGATTAATTAATTTATTTATTAATTTACTAAGATAATTAATTGCATTTATTCATTAGAATTAATTAGTATTTAAATCTCAGCTATGCTAAATGCAACGTATGAAGTGAATGATTTTCGGTGCGTCTTAATTCTTAGATGTTCTTAACCATCATCATCATTTTTCAATCATATCATTTCTGAAAATGCATTCTTATTAATTTGTATATTCGTTTATTTATCATGAAATTTTATTGTCAATATATATATATGACCTAATCGTTGTAAAACATTACACACACGTTTATGCTGTCCAACTTGTTCTTTATGTAATATTGCAATGCAGTTTAATTATTTACACGTTAGGAAGGTTACAAAATCTTTTAAAAATGTATCTATTTATGTGGCACTTTTTTCACTATATTTTTTAAGCAGGTGTCATTTTCGCTTAGTGTTGAAATATTTAAAAGCAGCTACTTACTGAGTGCTGAACTGATGACAAACTTAAGTAGTGAATATTCTATATATTTTTATTCTTTAATTTTTCGATTTTTTTCAAATTTTATTGTTGTTTTAATTTTGAAGTAGGTCGAGGAAAAATACGGCCGATGGCGTTGGTAACATTGTTGTGAATGTTGCTTGTTGATGAAATTTGAAGGGATGATCTATTTGTTACAGCACGGTGGTTTGTATGGTTGGTTGCCTGCCTGCCTGTCTGTCCGCCTGCCTATTCATCTGGTTCTCTTTTAGAGTTGATACTGGTTGAATGAGTTTCTCCCTTTCAGTTGTTTGTGAATAAAAAGAGGTAAAAAGTAAGCCAAACTCGAATGAGTATTTCGACTATCTAATTTTAATATATCAATTTTTGTCAGCAAAACATGTTTTAAATATATGTCTTAATGTTATATAATGTTATATAATATTATATATATATATATATATATACACACATATAGATATATATATTCATATATATATTCACATATATATTCACCTGTTGCATATTTGTTTTTCATTCCATCCAAATTAATGTCATAATCACAACTAGTATGTTGATCAGTTTGTGTATAATGATATGGGTGCATTACATTGTTCATCGGTAAATATCAATAAATGAATGGATATTTATGCGTGTGTGTAAGTGTTTGTGTGAGTGTGTGTTTTTGTGCGCGCATGTGTAAGTGTTTTTGTGTGTGAGTGTCTGTGTTTCTTTGCGCGTGTAATAAATTATTTGTTCACAGAGGACCAATATTTCTTTTTTTGTTTTATGATCTAGCATCCACCTACACTTATCCTGAAAAGGAGTTTTTGTTGTCATTGTGTACAGAATTTTTTCTTGTTTTCAAATGTTGGCTATAATTTTTTTTTCAACAGGTACCAGAAGTAAGTTTCCCACCTTATTGGTAGTTAGGCTCGAGAGCCAGGCAGAATGTAAATGATTGTTGTTTCTCTAGTTTTGAATTTTATTGAGGGCCATTTATTTCGTTTGCAAATTTTCACATATTTTTATTAATTTAGCAGGCTTTCCATTCACCCATCTATCTTCATGCATGCCTCGGTTTGAAAATCTTTAAGGTTTCGATTATTATTTATATAAAGTTTTGATCATTGTTGTTTAACGTTGATTTTAAAAATATTTTTTCTGAATTAAACGAAATAAATGCATCAGTGTATTATAGAGTAGGTTTGTTCCATAACTTATTTTCCATCGAGACTAGTCTATCTACCTTTTTTCAAGTCACTACCAAACAGTTCTCGGACGATAAGTCATTTATTACAGATATGTTTTATCAATTCTCACTTTTATTATATTTTTAAAGATTAGAATTTTTTAAAGTTATTTCAATAGTTTTTTCAATTCACTATAACATGGAAGGAAAGATTTTAAATTATCAACTTGTGTTCGGTTGGTACTTTCTAATTATGCAATCCGCACGCCATTCATAAAGCAATCTATTTAAATTTTTATGGTTAACTTTTTTGGCTGTTTGTAAACTGATTTTTAAGTTTTAATAATGTTAGTAGTACATTGAACAATTTTCATACAAACAATTTTCAAACGTAAAAAAAATTTATTTGTCCATTCTGAATGATTGTACCTAAAATGTGAGCCAGTTGTGTCTGTCTATCTTTCTTCAACGGTAACAAAACATTCCATCCAAAAATTTCTGAGTGATTCAATTCAGCAATATGTTACATGTTATTAGTGAACTTTCTGCGTTTGTTCTTCATGTTCAAGTCCTAATAAATGATCCGCACCAAGTTAAACTGAAGTCATTTTTAAGAATTTGTAAATATTTTACATCAATTATATATACCTTTTAGTGTCTGGTTAAAGTAACAACGTTTATATTTGCATGCGTGTGTATACCATTTGTTTTCATTATCAATTTCTATAGAACAATTTTCAACGAATCAGATGAAAAACTCTATTCTATTGGTGTTTATTATATGCAATGTATAAATTTAAATGACATACACTTTTATGTTCATCAAATTTGGAAGGTTGTACGCTGTATAACGACATTTTTTTGTTTTGTGGGATATATTTTTTGGTTGATGAAATTATTTTTACTTCCAGCATCAACTGGGTTTATTAACATTTTTCATGAAATTTTTTGCAGATGAAAATTCTTCTAATTTTCTCCACTGTCCAGTTTTGGTTGTTCAAATGAATTCACTTAGAAGTAGAACGCTACAAAGTTATATGATGTTTTGATTTTCACTCTGTGTTGATATCAGCATAATTATAATTGTCGTCCTCCTTAACATTGTCGTCGTCGTCGTTGTTGAATATTTTTTATTTTTGTTTTGGCGCGAACACTCTTCATGTGATCGTCCGTCTGAGAATGACGATGTTAAATCATTGCACTAATACAAAGCTTTTGAGGCATATGCATGCTTTCATAGTTTATATCATATAGTTTCAATCAACTTTTAGTTTCAAACATTCCATATAATTCCCTTTTCAAATAATTTTATTTTGTTTCCTTATGATTCCATTTATTCGTGTTGCTGAATGTTTCAGACGTTTATATCAATATTTTGAATCACGATTTTGGAGCTTTTTCTCAAAGATTGAAACTGGATTCATATCATTAACTTTTTTCGCGACTCTAGAAAACGGTTCGGTGGAAATGTTTAACGTTTAAAAAAAGTGATTCAAATCTCTGGAGCGATTTTTATGTCTTAATCGAAAATCAATTTAGTATTTCGTCTCTCATAATTTTGAATAATATAAATATAATTGTTGTTCTTAAATGTCTTTCTTTTCCAAGTAATTGAAAATTATTTAAAAGTGAAAAATCAATTGAATGTCATACGTATGTCGAATTTCAGCAACTTCAAACTCCGAATAAGTGCTGTTTAATATTAATGTTTTTTATTAATTATTTTCAGCATTTAGTTACCCATCAATGTTTTGAAATGAAATAATCCATGAGGTTCAGTCGCTGAAATCTTTTGTTCAGTAATTAGCAGCTGTTAAACTTATTTGACAAGCGGGACGATGACATCATCATAAGTTATGTCACCCATTTAACGAGTACGAAATCAGAATACCGCAAGGTTCATTTTTCCATCATTTATGGTACAAATGATGGCAATTTCAGCTTTCACAAAATGCATACCTTTGAAGAAGCGCAAACAAAGAAGGAATGAATGGGAAGATGCTGAAGTTTGATCAATTCTAGTATTATATGCTCAATTATAAGTTTTAAAGATTAAAATTTAACAAAAAATCGAATTCGGCGAATGTCAGTCGTGTGGCTCGCTAGCAATATCTCTAGAACCCTAGAGAAACAGCTGACAAATTTAAAGATAGTTTTTTCAAAAATCATCGCGAAATAAAAAATACAATTGCGTGCGCAATTATGATTTTCCTAATATTAATAATAATAGTAATAAAAAAAAATAAAAATAAAATAATAATTACATGCAAGATAACATTGAATGTTATTTTTATCGGTTATAAATCATAAGTGTTTTTATAATATAGATCGCTCAGTGGAACTTTCCATTAACATTAGTAGGCACGTACGGTAAACTTAATTTTATCTAAACACTTATTCTTCCATTGCCGTTTGGGTTATATTATCAAAAAATTTTCTTCTTACATTCATTCAATTATATTTATCATTTCCTTTCATTCGTCTGTTTTTGCAAAATCTGTCTGGTATATTTAACTTTTATCTCGAGAAACGTTAAAAATGTCGACAATTTATTCAAAATACGTTTTTTACACTATTATTACCACTTTAAATCTGTTTTTTAATGTTTTTTCAACCTGGTTTTCAAACTTTCAATTTCACTGAAACACGTTTTGTATATTTCAATTTTAATATTTACGATATTTAAGTTTTTACATCTAAATTTCTTACAAATTTTAAAAAATAAACTTTTCGTTTACGTTATCATTTTCATTATAAAAACATGAAACATTAAAAATACAAAAAAAGCTGCCAACAAGTCGATTTATTCAACTCATGAAAATTAAAGGGAAGTATTTATATGATTTGAACAAATACACCACATCAATTTTTCAGAAGTTATTAACCTCGCAAGCTTTCATTTTCTTCCGCAAAGTTTGTTGTGTTCACCCATGCAGTTCACTACGCAATATATTTCCTACTCAAAGTAGTGTTTTGTATATAATATTTATTTTATACACAAAGTAGTTTTTTATATAAAATATTTTTCTTCAGCGTTTTTTGAATGTTTAGTCATTCTTTCGAAGTTCTAATAAATTTGAACCATAAATATCTCACTATAACCGCAAGAAATTGATAGGGTTGAGCATTGGCTGAAAATTTCTAACATATTTTAAAAGATTAGGCAGTCAGGTAGGCTGCAGATACTATCATGAACAACAAATGACTTGAAAGTTTAATACGAACATTTCCACAAAGACGCGGGGACATAAAATAATACAAGGTACACGTTAGCGTCATATAACAGTCATTCATTCCTCTGCTTCAAGCAATTTCTACGTTAATTCATGGCATCATATCAGATTTCCTACAACAACTTCATACATTGATTTGTGTTGTCTATATTATTTTTAAAACGAATCTTCACTTATAATAATAATAATATATAATAAAATATATATATAATATATATTTTATAATAATACGTTTATTTCAATTAAGCTAATTACATATTTTGTCAGTGGGAGTAGGTATGTCGTCTGAAGCCAAAATTTGACCAGACGATAATTGTCGCGTTCAAGTTACATGATTCTTTATTTGTCTTTATGATATTTTATTGAAAAATTAAATTACACGAATCAGTGCTTATTGAAAA